ATTGGCTCCTTGCTTCCCGCCACAATTGATTGGCTCCTTGTTTCCCGCCATAATGGATTGGTTGGCTCCTTGCTTCCCGCCGTAATGGATTGGTTGGCTCCTTGCTTCCCGCCGTAATGGATTGGTTGGCTCCTTGCTTCCCGCCGTAACGGAGTGGTTGGCTCCTTGCTTCCCGCCAATTTGGTTTGCCATTCGATCGTTTCTGTGATTGGTTTTATCGTTTTAGGGGGTGCATCTTGTCGTCCCTCGAAGTTGCCGACAACATCACCTCTGTCCCCGTCAGAACGTATGTGACCGTCTTCACCGCACAGATGCAGATCACCCTCCCCACTCCTTGATATCGCCGCCGGCAGCTACATTCCAGTGTCGGGATTTATGGTAACGCCAACAGAAATTCAGTCTGATTAATTACATCCGTTTTCCCTTGTTTTCTCATCCCGCTTCTGTTCCCCGCCCTTTTTTTTTTTCCCGTTCCCCTCTCTGCCATTTGCATTCGAGGATTCACGACCCTCGCTCCACTGCACGACACTCTACATGTATCTGGATAACGGTGATGGTCCCGATACATTCAAAATGTTCGATCAGTCTGAATGAATCTGGTCCAGAGAGCAGTTTAGATACTTGTCCAATGTTAAGTAGTGGACCTTTTCCCCATCTCGTCACTGATACCTGTAAATTAATTAATTGATTGTTTGCTATACCTGTAGTTAATTGATTCCGTTTGCTTTGTCGTAATGCACACGCTCGGTCGTCTGGAGCCTGCCTCTGAATCTGGTCCATTTCTCAGAATGTCGTTGTAGTCCCTCGGTCCCTCGGTCCCTCGGGACATCCGTTAAAACTGGAACGATACAGAGAAGGGTAGATTAGCAAATGGCCCCTGCGCTTTAAAGGATTACACGTGTAAATCGAGAAATGGCCCAAATTAAAAAGAAAGAAAGGAAGAAAGAAAGAAAGAATGTTGTTTTTTAAAATTTTAATGTCGACGTAAAATTCCCCTGAGTGCTTGTATTCCCTGAGTGAGAAAGTCCTGGTGTGAATATTCACCCTCCCTTTAATGTGCCCAATGCCCAAAGGCTTAAGGCTTATATCAATGAGGTAATAACGAAGTAGATCGATCTCAGAGGTCACCTGGCCTACCCTTCGTCCCGCCCCGAATACAACGTACGGTGATTATAGCTGTATTTGGGGTATCTTTCAGTCTAAATACAGTTATAATGACCGTACGTTGTATTCGGGGGAAGAAGGGTAGTACGTACTCCTCAGGCGGAGCCTTACCTCACCTCTGCAGAAAATCAAGAAATCCACAAACATTTCATGAAATTCCTAATCCTAAGGGCCTCACTCCAATACACAACACTACATGCATTTGGACGCCTGCTATTATTAAAAAAAAAAAAAAAAATCCAAAAATATTTGCTTTATAAGTTTATATTAATCCGACAAAGATATTTGTTTTATTTTTTTACGAGACAAATTGATTGCTGACGCACTTGTTAAAACTGTTTCTTTTTTTTTAAGAAATATCTTCTATCTACCTTTTTTCATAGTCTCTAAGGGATCCTCTTGCTAATATTTATCAAATCAACACAGGACTTCCTTTGGGATTGATCCATCCAAGTAACGTAAATGAATGTTGATTTTTTTTTTTTCCAGATATAGCTGGATGCACACTGGATGCACACTCTAAAAACCTCATACATTCAAAACGTTGGACTGGTACGGATGCACCTGGTCCACAAGGTGTCCAAGTGCATGTACAAGTAATGTAAATGAATGTTGAATGTTTTCCAGATATAGCTGGATGCACACTCTAAAAACCTCATACATTCAAAATGTTGGATTGGTACGGATGCACCTGGTCCACAAGGTGTCCAAGTGCATGTAGAGTGCTGCGTAGTGGAGCGAGGCTTTAAGTGTCAAGTCACACATTCTAGATAACAAATATATAGGTAAATGCTACCACGGCTATTGAAAGCCGCCGCGTCAAAACAGTACCTTTTGCCTTTCTTGGCGCTCTAGCTAAAGATCAATTAGATCATCTTTTCTGATTGTGATCAGTTAAACCACCAGTACATCCATGTTCTTAGGGTGCGGGCCCATTTCGGAGGCCGCCCGCCACCGATTCAATTTATTTTATCTACAGCGATGGGCCTCTGAAATTTTCGTAGGCGACGAGTTTTCTTTCCAGCAAGGCTGGGGCCGTGTACTAGCGGATAAAACTACCAGTACGTGTCCCAGATAGAAAATCAAACTCGCGGCGTGCAGGCATGCTGCCGCAACTCTAGGGAAGTACCGGGGCGCTGTCTTGGGGCACATACATCCGGGCACATACATCCAGGCAAAACGGGTCGCATGCGAGGGGCCCTCTGCCTCTGAATGGATGTCCAGCGTAAAGGCGCCCCCCGTGCTGATGGCCCCATACTGAATGGATGTCCAGCGTAAAGGCGCCCCGTGTTGATGCCTCCATACTCAGCACGCCATACTTTGCCAGAGTCAGCATGCACGCCCCTGTACTTTGCCAGAGTCAGCATGCACGCCCCTGTACTTCACCAGAGTCAGCATGCACGCCCCTGTACTTCGCCAGAGTCAGCATGCACTCCCCCGTACTTCGCCAGAGTCAGCATACATGCCGTGAGTTTGATTTTTTGTCCTAGTTGTGGGAAAAGTACTGGTGGTTTAATTCTCCTTTCGGTGGAGACCCATCGCAATTGAGGCACGATTGGTCAAATTTAATTCTCCTTTCGGTTTGACCAATCTTGCCTCGATCTCGATGGGTCTCCAGACTCTCCACCAAAATTCTAACCATGTTCGTTTTTTCAACTTTTTGCAATTTTTTTGCCTTTTCCGTTTTCTGATCTCGCATCTAGATGATCAAGATTTCCGATCGAAATGGAATTTCGGAGAACCATTTTCGACAAGTCCCTGAGAATCTGTCATCACGTGAAGCGGTATTGGCATTTCTTCCAGACGGTCCGACAAAGTCACAAAGCCGCTGCAGACATAGCAGCGTTAGTGAGCGACTTGGATAGATGAAATAGACAAAAGGCAGGACCCACTGGCAAGAGGTGTTGAGGTCCCCTTGCCTTGCCTTGTGCTGTGCTCTCACATGCATCGTGCATCCAGCTACCGACGGGCCTTGAGCCTTGTGCATTCTTATGCCTTGAGCTTCCACTTTTGCGCATCCACACACGCCAGAGTGCACACACACACACACACACACACACACACACACACACACTTGGCCGTGGCTGAGTGGGTGTGTAGAGTGGGTTTTATGGCTGCGTCACATGAGTTTCTCAGACTTACTGCTATTCTTGTCAGGGGTTTGGATCGATGGTCTGCTAGGATTGCAGGGT